TTGCGGTACGCGGGCCTCTCACTGTTGTGGCCTCTCCCGTTGCGGAGCACAGGCTCCGGACGCGCAGGCTCAATGGCCATGGCTCACGGGCCCAGCCACTCCGCAGCATGTGGGATCTTCCCGGACCGGGACATGGACCCGTGTCCCCTGCATTGGCAGGCGGACTCTCAACCACTGCGCCATCAGGGAAGTCCCTGTTCATAATTTTTTACATCCAGAGGCCAAAGTTTCTAGCCTCCTTAGGAAAGCAAGTCATACTTTTCCAGGGAAAAGCCGCTTCTGGATATTGGTTTGTTTTTAATTTAGCCATTGATATGTTCTTAGAAAGTGAAGTATTAAGTTGAGAATATTTAAATAGTATCTTCTAATTGGTTTGCATTTTTAGTGTTTTTTAATCAGTGGAAGCCCCTAAAATTTTAGCTTTCGGTTATGAACTTAAACTAGTAGATTTAGTAGTAACTCTGAGAGTATCTTTTCTGATCCCCACATTATACAGTTGGGGGATAGCCAGTAGTCCAGAGGGAGTAAGAGATTTGTCTAGAATAATATTGTTTGTCAGAACCATGCATTTTCATTGTTCCATTCAGTCTCTGTGTTACTTATTCTGCTTGCTAAGTCTGGGTGTTTTCCAAGGTTCTTTTCTTTCTCCTCTATCTCCTATAGCATTTGCCAGTTCCAACCATTACCATAACTTAAAAAGAAAAAAAAAAATCACCTCTTCACAAATGACTTTTAAACATTTATTTCAAGTCCAGCCTCTCTACAGAACTCAAGATTCACATCTGCAGTGGCCTACGGGATGTTAGTCTGCAACTCTTTATAGGAATATAAAACCCAGCATACCCCAAACAGTACAAATTTATCTCTCACCAAAATAAGATTATCCTCCCAAGTTCACTGCTTCTAATATCATTTCCGTTTGTCTAGTTTCCCAAATGTGATTCTTATTTGTCACTTTCCTCCAGTTTTTTCATTACGAAATCCTTTGCATTCTTCCTCAGTATTTATTTATTTTTTGTTGCCTCGGGTTCTTTGTCAAGGTGCTGATGTTCTGTAAACAACTCTAAAATACTTTGGAGGCACTCCCGTAGTTAAAGAAAACTATTATAAGCTATGTTATAATACAGTATGGTCAAGTATATTATAAGAAAGATATAGGCAGCACGGAATGTTAAAAGAATGCTTAGCTAGGAGACAGGAGACTAGGTTCCAGACCTACCTCTTCCACTTATTTGGAATAAGTCTTTTTATTCACTGGGGCCTCACTTTTGTTATCATCAAATGAGCAGGTTGTATTAGCAGTTTTCTGTAAGCCTTCATATTATATGTCCTTTCTTTCTCCCTCTGCCCACACCACTTCAATAGTGCCTGCAGGCTTTGGAGTTTCTGCATTCGAGCCAAGTTATTCATAGAGACATCAAGAGTGACAACATCCTGTTGGGAATGGATGGCTCTGTCAAGCTAAGTGAGTAGGAGTGGTAATACTTCTCTTCCCTGTGGGACCCTGTCTCCTCTGGGATGATAATCATATAAGAGTAGCTACAAGACTCACCAGAGAATCTGTATTTCCTTGGATATGCAGGCACTTTATATTACTCAGCACTATATAGTATGACATTTCTTTTTTTTTCCCACTCATTTATACATTTAGCCAAAAAAATTTACTGAATGCCCACTATGTGCTAGGACCCGTGATGGGTGCTGAGGATACTTTTGCCTGTATTTAAGTAGTTCTCAATCTAGTATGGGAAACACAAAATACATAATTAGAAGAAAGAGTTTAGTGTAACTTCTTTCATTCAGTCATTCATTCAGCAAACTTTTATTAAATGTCTGTTGTATGCTGGGCCCTCTGGGAATGAAAAAAATGGGTAAGAAGACAGTCCTTCTTATTGAAGGCCTCATAATTAAATAAATATATAATTGCAGTATAATGGGAATGAACTGCAGGCAGAACATTTTGTTCAAATGTGTAAGGACCAATAGTCCAGACAAACAGGTTGTGTCACAGGTGGATGGGCTGCTTATGGGAGGACTGTTAGCAGTCTCTGTCCTGGGGCACAGGGTGAGGAACTTATTAAAGTAGGGCCATGCCTAGTTGTAGGTGATTAGGGTTTAAGTCCAGGACTCATGCCCAGGAAATAAAACAAGGACCTAGTTACCAGATACTGGTGTATGGGAATGATTTTCAAGAAGAACGCAGTACTGGGGCAAGTAATCAAGGTCAATGGGGGTGGCGTGGACTTTAATGCCTAGTGCTTCTGGTTTGAGGAGGGGTAAGGAAGCCAGAGATGATATTCGTTATGTTCCTCCTTCAAGGTTGAACAGGAGACAGGCTAAGAGCTGAAGGTGGCAGTTATGTGATTCTAGCTTTGGAGAGACAAGGGATGCAGTGGCTATGATGCAGGCAGAGCTTGATACCTAGGGGTAGGCACATAGTCAATATTTACAGAAGGCATACCCTACATATAAATCCTTTCTGTCTTGTCTTTTTCTAGCTGATTTTGGATTCTGTGCCCAGATCACCCCAGAGCAGAGCAAACGGAGCACTATGGTGGGAACACCGTACTGGATGGCACCAGAGGTTGTGACACGGAAGGCCTATGGGCCTAAGGTTGACATTTGGTCCCTGGGCATCATGGCCATCGAAATGATTGAAGGGGAGCCCCCATACCTTAATGAAAATCCTCTGAGAGTGAGTGTTACTAGGCCCATATCAAGATGTTTGGGCTGTTGGATTTCTCTTTTCTGGATAAAGCTAGGTACTGTTCAATTTAAAGTATAAATGCTTAAAGAAAAGGTATATTAGCAGTCATTCATTCATTTATTCAATGATTATTTGAGTTCTTATCATGGGCAAGAAACTGTTCTACTGATAATAAATTAACATATAGTAACAGAAGATAAGAGCTGTGAAAAAAAGCAGAGTAAGTGGCTTAAGAGAGTAAGGGGGGAAGGAGGGAGAAGTGTGCTATTTTATTCTAGGTAGAGAATGAAGTCTTCTCTTATAAGTTATTTGAGGAGAAATCTGAAGAAAATAAAGTAGTGAGCCATGAGATTAATCTGACGTAAGAGTTTTCCAGGTGTCAAGTATATAAAGAACTTGTTTTGAGAACGTGCTTGATACATCCTAGGGAAAACCAAGGAGGCCAGTGTCCCTGAAGTGAGTGAACAGAGTGGACAGGGTTCTGTGTTAATTTGAAATGTTTATTAAACATCCAAGTGGAAATACTGAGTAGAATTGGGCATAAGAGTTCAGAGTTCAAGGGTGAGAGGTCAGTACTCTAAATATAAATTTATTAGCAGGTATTATATAGTTGGTTTATTTAAAAATCAAAGCTAGTTGATAATGAAATCACTCACCTAGGGGGTGAAGGGAGAGTACTGAGACCTGGGATACTGTCATGTTTACAGGTTAGAGGAGCTAGCAAAGTGGCCAGTGAGTAGCCTTCCAGGTAGGAGAACTGAGAGAAGTGTCCTGGAGGCCAAGAGGACAGAGTGTTTCGAGAAGGAGGATGGATCACTGTGTCAAACCTGACTGATAGGTTGCATTTAAGATAACGCTAAGAAGTGATCATTAGATTTGCCAGTGTGAAGGTTATTGATGACTTTGACAATCAGTTTCACTGGAGTGATAGGAATGAAAGCCTAATTAGAGTAAATTCACCACAGTAGGCAAAGTTGAGATGGCATGTGTAAGCAGTTAGTTTTTACTTTTCATTGTTGTTTTCTTTTAAAGGAGTTTTGCTTTAAGGTAAGGAGTTTTGTTAAGGTAACAGTGGAGCAATATCTTAAAGTGGAGTCGAGGGAGGGTTTGTTTGTTGGTTTGTTTATGGCTGTGTTGTGTCTTTGTTGCTGCACACGGGCTTTCTCTAGTTGCAATGAGCGGGGGCTACTCTTTGTTGTGGTGTGTGGGCTTCTCATTGTGGTGGCTTCACTTGTTGCAGAGCACAGGCTCTAGGTGCGCAGGCTTCAGTAGTTGTGGCATGCGGGCTCAGTAGTTGTGGCTCACGGGCTCTAGAGTGCAGGCTCAGTAGTTGTGGCACACAGGCTTAGTTGCTCCGCAGCATGTGGGATCTTTCCGGACCAGGGCTCAAACCCATCTACCCTGCATTGGCAGGTGGATTCTTAACCACTGTGCCACCAGGGAAGTCCCTTTTTTTTTTTTTTTTTTAATATTATTATAGCATGTTTTTGTGCAGATGGGACTGATCTAGTGGAGAGGAAAATGGTCATGTTCAAGAGAGAAGTGACATCTGTAGGAGTGATGTCCTTAAGTAGATGAAGGGGGTTGGATCGAGTACTGAAGTAAAGAGCATAGATTAGAATATGCACAATTTATCTGTTGTAATAGGAGAGGGAAAGCAGGGTATGTGAATACAGATGCAAGTAGGTTGGTAATTTTGATCATGGGCAAAGGTGAGAGTTATTTTTATTGCTTTCATTTTGTTGTTTATTCCAACCTCCCATTCAGTGCAGGAATTCCCTGTGCATTGTCACTGATAGGCGGTCATCTAATCTTAGTTGGATAGCTCTGATTATTGAAAAGTGCTTTAGTGTACCAAAGTAAAACTGCCTTCGTAGTTTCTACCCTCGGCCCCCAGTTTTGCCCTGTGGCTCCACATGCCACTCATCTTCTTCCACCTTAGAGTGGCCTTGAAAATGATATCAGTAGGGCATGACAGAAATAAGACTGGGAGTAGAGTCAGAGGACATGAACTTGTGTAAACAGCATGATTCCAGGCATATCTCCTTATGTTTCTGGGCTTTATCTGTGAAATGGGGATGATAATTCTTGCCCTGCCTATTACCCAGAGTTATTGTGGTCATTAAATGATACAGTATTTGTGTAAACACTTTATGAATTAAAGTGCTGAGTGCTTTAAAAGGTTTAGTTTGACTGTTTTTCTTTACCTTTCCCAGGAGATACTTCACGTTAGGGGACCAGGATGGCAACAGTGAAACAGGTTGCTCCTTTACAGAACTCTTCCTTTACATATATTTCTGTCCTGCTAGAAGAGATGAGTTTTTAGATGACTGAAGTGATGGCACCAGGAATAATTTCCTTCGGCAAATGGGCAGATGTTTAAATCATCAGGCTAAATGAATAATAAACCATTTAGATCTATAATCAAGGATAATGATAAACTCTTGGGTCAGTAACACACTTCATAAGCTTACAAAGTGCTTTTAATATACTATCTTGTTGTATTTTTCAGACATGTGAGGTAGGCAGTATTATCATCGCTGTTTTACAGATGAAGAAGTTGGAAGTTCACTGGCTTTGCTCCTGGTTACATGGCTTTTAAATGTTAAACCTGACCCTTAACTCATATTCTTTCCAGTATACCAAAGCTGCCTCTTCGTGTTCTGAAGGCAGAAAGCAGCTGACCATATTTCTAGAGGGCCTGTCTGGGCACCAAGAGAGAACCTCAGTTGGAGCCCAAGGCAATTCTCTGTTTGTATTGCCAGGCCTTGTACCGAACCGCTGTCTTGAAATGGATGTGGAGAAGAGAGGTTCAGCTAAAGAGCTATTGCAGGTAACTGTCCCTATGTAGGGAAGCACCTAATGCGAGAAATCACTAAACCAAGGCTTTTTTTGCTTCATTTTTGTCTGTGAGGTACTGGCTGTTATAGAACTAAGCTTCTCTCCTAGCACATCCCATGCTCAATTTGTATTCCTAGTTCCCTCATCTTTACTCTTGGGCCTTTTTCCTCATGTTATTCCCTTAGGCTCTTCTTCAGCCTATTAAAACTCTGTACATTTTCCTAGGCTGTATCTTATAGAGTTACTTTCTGAGCTCCTGTTGAGCTTTGCTTGTATCTTCCTTTGGTGCCTGTTTTGTTCTGCCTGAATTAGTCTGGCAGAGTTTGAGTGAGTCTTATGGAGAAGAAACTCTTTGATGTTCAAATCTTATACAAGTTATATTTTATTGGGATAAGCTCAAAAGATAAATTTTCAGTAAAGGATATCAGAGGGCATTAGTTTAGAGGATAGTTAGTGCAGCTTTTCAAGTCTCCACAGTTTCTTCATTGGAAACCCTCTCAGATGGTGGGGATGATAGTCTCCTTGTTTGTTTATTTATAAATTTTTTGGCTGCACCACGCAGCACGCAGGATCTTAGTTCCCTGACCAGGGATTGAACCCACGCCCCCTGCACTGGAAGTGCAGAGTCTTAACCACTGGACTGCCAGGTAAATCCCATATAGTCTGCTTGTTTGGAGTGAGATCCTGCCAGGCTGTGGGGAACCTGGAGCTGGGGGTTTACCAAGCCTTTTATACTCCACCAGCTTAATCCTGAAATTACAGCATAATTATTTCATATGGTTGTAAAAACTGCTTTTAGCTGACCACATTATTTGTATTTAACATTTATGTCTCGGGTACAGTTTCTCATTACTAGTGTTATTTTACTACAGTGCCAACTGGTGATTTAATAAGTATCACATGCAACTTAATGACAATGATTAATTTGTAGGCTTTCATAGTCAGTTACTTTTGTATTATGAGGGCGAAGAGCAACTGGTCAGGGCAGGGCAGGACCTACCATACTGTACCACATTAAAGTTAGTTATGAACAATTCAGTCTTTCTTACTAGATTATAACTTCTATCTTATTAATCTCTTGTCTCCTCTTATACCTGAGACCTGACTCAAAATAGGTATTCAGTGCAAGTGATATGACTGATAAAGGGTTAATATCCAAACTATATAAACAGCTCATACAACTCAGCAAAATAACCCCAAACAACCCAGTTAAAAAATGGGCAGAAGACCTGAATAGACCTTTCTCCAAAGAGGAAATGCAGATGGTCAACAGGCACATGAAAAGATGCTCAACATTGCTAAGCATCAGGGAAATGCAAATCAAAACCACAATGAGATGTCACCTCATATCTGTCAGAATGGCCATCATCAAAAAGAACACAAATAATAAATGCTGAAGAGGGTATGGAGAAAAGGGAACCCTCCTACATTCTTGGTGGGAATGTAAATTGGTGCAGCCAGTATGGAAAACAGTATGGAAGTTTCTTAAAATACTCAGAATAGAACTACCATATGACCCAGTTGTTCCACTCCTGGGTATATATATGAAAGAAACAAAAGCCCTAATTTGACAAGATACATGCAGCCCAATATTCATAGCAGCATTATTTACAATTGCCAAGATATGGAAGCAACCTAAGTGTCCATCAACAGATGCATGGATAAAGAATATTCCATACAGTGAAATACTACTCAACCATAAAAAGAATGAAATCTTGCCATTTATAACAACATGGATGGACTTGGAGGATACTGTGCTAAGTGAAGTAAGTCAGAGAAAAACAAATACCGTATGCTAACACATATATATGGAATCTAAGAAAAAAATGGTTCAGAAGAACCTAGGGGCAGGACAGGAATAAAGATGCAAACATAGAGAATGGACTTGAGGACACGGGGAGGGGGAAGGGTAAGCTGGGGCGAAGTGAGAGAGTAGCATGGACATATATACACTACCAAATGTAACACAGATTGCTAGTGGGAAGCAGCTGCGTCACACAGGGAGATCAGCTCAGTGCTTTGTGTCCACCTAGAGGGGTGGCATAGGGAGGGTGGGAGGCAGACGCAAGAGGGAGGGGATATGGGGATATATGTATATGTATAGCTGATTCATTTTGTTATACAGCAGAAATTAACACCATTGTAAAGCAATTATACTCCAATAAAGATGTTAAAAAAAATTGTGGGGCTTTCCTGGTGGCGCAGTGGTTGGGAGTCTGCCTGCCGATGCGGGGGATATGCTGGGGATACGGGTTCGTGCCCCGGTCCAGGAATATCCCACATGCCGCAGAGCGGCTGGGCCCGTGAGCCATGGCCGCTGAGCCTGTGCATCTGGAGCCTGTGCGTCCGGAGCCTGCGCGTCCGGAGCCTGCGCGTCCGGAGCCTGTGCTCTGCAATGGGAGAGGCCACAACAGTGAGAGGCCCGTGTACCACAAAAAAAAAAAAAAAAATTGTGAATCACTATATTGTACACCTGTAATTTATATAACGTTGTACATCAGCTACACTTCAATAAAATATAGGTATTCAGAAAATACTTGTTGAATTAAATGGGATTGCTTAAACCTTCATTGAAATGTTACCCTCTGGTATATATTTAGCACCTCTTTGTAATCAGAGTAACTGACTACAGAGCACTGGTCTATTAGATATGAGACCTGAGTTCTGCCAAGTGTAACCCATTAGTTTCTAGCATCCTTTGGGAATAAAACCCCCTTGTAACAGGCAGTATAATATAGGATCCTTTGCCTCTTATACGAGGTTTGTTCTGGAAACCCTAAGCTTTGGGAAATGCGCAAATACTGTTCTAAGCCCCAAGATGATATTGTTAATTAGGTATTAAAATATAGTTAAAGATGAACGCCTTCTAGAGTTTCCTTCCTGATATAATAATATAACTACTAATAAATGCATTATGTTGAATTTTTACCACATTCTAGGCACTAAGCACTTTATATATTTTTTCATCTATTCTTTTTAATAACCTTGTGAGTTAATAGATTCTTGTTTTCCCATTTCAACAGGTGAGGCAACTGAGGTTTCAAGTGTTTAGTAACTTTTCCATGATTATGTAGCTGATAAGCAGTGGATCCAGGATTTCAACCAATGTCTGTTTGGCTCTCAAGTGTGTATGCTCTTGGCCACTGCTTGGCTCAGAGTGTTAAAACTTGAAAGACCTTAGGGCTTATCTCGTCTGCTTTGTTCATTACACAGAGAAGGAAATTGAGGCCTCCCAGTTGGGTGTTGGATCATGCTGCTTTCTCAGCTGGGAGGGGAGTTGTATAAACATGTGATCTGAGAACACTGACTCTTTAATTTGTTATTGTACATTGTAAATATTCAAAACCATGACTTTCAGAGTCTTAAATCATGAAAGCTTCACATCTTTGCCTCCTGTGAAAACACATATATGGACAGAAATACATAGGGTTTTATGTTTGAATTCATATTTTCATGATTTAGCCAAGATCTTCTATTCCTTTTGTAGTAATAGTAACTCCTTGTTCTCAGTACCTCTTTATATCCTATCTCTGTCCAAAAAGAAGTTGAAGCACTTCCAGCAAAGAATATGTGTAAATATGTCTATATGTGTGTGTGTATATACATATACAATATGATTAATAAAAGAGACTTATGAGGATGGCAGAAGAATCAAATATGCTAATCATTTGAGTTAAATAGTTTTGTTTAAACATCAGATTTGGTTCTTAGTTTCCTGGTAGTGAGGATAGAAAAGGAAATATGTTAGTTCCTATGTTTCTTATCAAATGGAAGAAACATCCTACATCCTCAAGACACAAAGCTTTTTCACTAGTAAATGTAAGAAAAGTCATTTTTAGTTAAGAGGCTCTGAGTTACATAAAGAATCGTTTTCCGTAATGTTTTTTACTGAAAACATAAAAATAGGATTCATATGGTGTTTTCTCCAAAATGGTCTTCTTTAATAGTTGTGGGTGTGGCCCAAAGTACAGCCCAGTGAAAGTGGTTTGGGAAAGAACCAAGCCATTGAAGTCCTTCCTGGGTTAATTAGCCTTACTAGATTCAAGGATAGAACAACAAATTCCTAGATCAATGCTCCTGAAATGCAGTATTGCAATGTACCATTGGGTCATGATCAATTAATAACCTTCCCTCTGAGCTGATTATTATTCTGATTATCACCATAGTTTGGTCTTACCTAATATAAAATGGAATCATACAATATGAACTCTCTTGTGTCTGGCTTCTTTCATGCAACATAATGTCTGTGGGATTCATCCTGTTGTTAGTGTATCAATTATTTATTCTTTTTTATTGCTCTGTAATTTTTGTGTGGTATTATATAAATATAATATTATTCATTCTTCCATTATCTTGGACATTTGGGTTCTTTTCATTTATGACTGTCATAAGTAAAGCTGCTATGAGCATTTTTGTTTGTGTCTTCTGGTGGATTCACAAGCTCATTTCTCTTGGAAATATATCTAGAAGTGGAATTGCTGGGATATAGGATAGACATGTATTTAGCTGTAGGTAGATACTGCCAAACAGTTCTCCAAAATGATATGTTATCTTTTAAAGATATTCTTCAATTTGGGGATGATGATCTGAAGCTCTCCAGGCAGCACCTTGTGCAAACATGGATGCCCTTAACATCTTGTAATGGTTGCTGAGGAAGAATGGTAAATTGTCATGTGTCTTTTGTTCTTTTTCTCCTCTTTAGCATCAGTTCCTGAAGATTGCCAAGCCCCTCTCCAGCCTCACTCCACTGATTGCTGCAGCAAAGGAGGCAACCAAGAACAATCACTAAAACCACGTCATCCCAGCCTCATTGTGCCACGCCTTCTGTGAAATAAATGCTCATTTCGGAAATTCCAGCCCCTGACGCTC